GGGGTTTTCTAGGGAAAGGAAGAGGACTCGATCCTCCGTGCCTGTGCCGTGCCCCTCCCCCTCCCCGCTCTTTTATTTTAATGTTGTGTGTACGCAGGGCCGGGTGTCCAGGGGGAAAGGGCTAGAGTGGTGGGAGTGTTTCCGTTAAAAAAACCCTGGAAGGTGGGGTGCTTTGTTGGCCGATTTGGGGAGGATCCTGTCAATTCCCCACTCCATTGCAGTCTGCAACTGAGACCCGGGCTCCCTGCTGGGAAGAGGCTGATGGGTGTCTGTGGATGTTTCGACATTTTAGGTTGGAGACGGCTGAAGTGGTGTTAGGCTTGCGTTTCTGTTCGTATGACCATTCAAGATCCCTTCGGGCCTTGCTTTCTATTGGTTCTGTGCTGCTGGATTGCTGGATTCCCGTCTCCGCTTCACCCCAGATGACACTATCAGCAACGCCAGTGGGAGCCTCCGTTGATCCGGAGGCCACCTTCGCCTCGCTACCCCTGCCTTCCCAGTTCCCTCTTCCTATCCACCCTTCTTGATTTTTACCTTCATTTTCAGGATTTTCCTCCTTTCGAATGTTCTGAGATGCAGGATGTGGGATACTGGTTGCTAGGAGACAAATCAGGCTCCCAGGGAGATTCTGTAGTTTCCTTGACAACCAGACTAGGGCAGCCACAGATGAACAAGCCTCCTTCCTATCAGCTGTGGGAGGGAAAGGGGGGCTTTTTTGGGTTCAGCTAAGAGTATGTGCAGGGGTGGGGAATGGGCGCTGGGGAGGGTTGTAGCAAGAATGAACAAACACAGGTTGGGTTTTGACCTGGACTGTGTGATGACACTGGAAAGAGAGCTGTGGGCAGGAAGGGTCCCCAGCCTCTGGAGGAGGGAGGCGTTGGGGGTGTGATAGCCAGGGCAGAGGAGCACAGGAAGCCCTAGTCTATGGTCTTAGGGAGATTGGGCAGGAGGCTTGGATAGAATGAGGATGAGGTAATAGAAAAAGTCAAGAGTCATGGGAGGAGAGAGTGCCCCGGGGAAAGAGAAAGTCAAAAAGCTCACTGAGTGGGTTATCTCATCATATACCAGCAACGATAAAGTTACAGTATTCTAGAAGAGAGAGGGAGAGGGAGACTGTTGGCATGCTATCTCCAGGACAAGGTCCTCATTTAAGACGGGCCTAATTAGACTCAGAGTTCTGCTGGCTTAATTGGGCCAGGCTGTATTTTAAAGAGAGATATAATTACACATATAGATATGTAATCTAGCATTATATAATACCAGCATTACATAAGAAGACAAATATCTCCTGTCGTCCCAGGCTCCCGTGGCATGCATTCACTGGGAGTCAGGAGACTGTCTTCTAAAGCCCTCTTGCCCATTCTCCAGAGGGGGAGACTGAGGCTCCAGAAACATGATTGGCCTATTCCTAGATGAGTCCATGAAGTTTGCCAGTTGGGCAGCTGGGGCCCAGGTGGAATAGGTGAGAATGATGGAAAGGAGGGAGGAAATCGAAGGGCAAACAGGGGCAGGCTGAGAGGCAGCAGGGGCCTGGTCAGGGAGGGGTATCCTTGGGCTGCAACCCAGCAGCCTGGTGTTCAAACTCATGGTACAGGATTCTCTGCTCTCCTACCTGTTGGTTCGCTGGCCCTTGTTTAACCCTGGTGGTGTGTAAGGTAGGCGTGCGTGCTCTCATCAGCAAGCACCTGAACTTGAATCACACTGCTCTGCTGGTGTCCTGGCAGCATCCTTGGTATCCAGACACATCTGGATTTAAGAACCAGTGCCTGCCTCCTTGCCTCCTCGTCTCCCCCTTTGCTTACAGACTCCCGTGAATCTACATTTGACAAAGAAGTTCTGTTGGCTAGTGGGTTTTTAGCTTTACCCTCCAGCTGCGCATGTTTCTAGTGGGGAGTCTGTTTGATTTTTCACTCAATAAAACAGAAACCACAACCCAGAGGCTACTTCCCAGTGCCCACAATCCCTCAGCTTCTTGACTGTGGACCATGGGCTGTCCAAGGGGGCTGCCCCTGGCCCTCAGACTGAGACAGAGTCCGCAGAGGAAGCAAGATGGTGATTAGAATCACAGTGGGCTGCTGGGTGGGTGGTGGGGTGGGGGAGCAGGAGCAGAGAGGAGCCCGATGGTGCAGGCAATTGCCCCGGAGACCAGGGAGGGACTGTTGGGAGACCCCTGGTTGTTGAGGGTCGGGATTCTGTAGAATTCCAAGCAGGAGGAAGAGATTTTTCCTCATTGAAAAGTCCTTGTTGCACTTTTTGCTTAGGTAGCTGAAGTGCATCCACTGGCAAATCCCAGTTGTCAGGCTTGCTTGGTATTTGGGATCTGAGTTCCTGAATGTTGGCATCCAGTTACAGTGGCCCTGCCCCCGGGCAGGAGTGAAGTGAGCGTCTGCTGCTGCTGGTGGCCTGGCGCTCGGGCTGGATGGTTCAGTAGTTGTTCCAGCAGGGCCGCTACCACAGAAGGAACCAAGCCCTTCTGACCAACCCCTGCCCCTGCCCCTAACAGGAGAATGGAGGCCAGCTGGGACACAGCCCGGGAAAGCCCCCTCAGGGCTGGTGACAGCTTCTGGAACACTGAGATGACATTTGACTACAGAAGTGCCTTCTGTTTGTTCATTTTAAACCATCCCTCTCTGTGGGTGGACCAGCCCTTTGCTCTTGGCCTGACACAGAAGGAAACTGAGGCAATGTGTGTCCTGAAATTCAGGCCCGGGTTCCTTTTCTTCTTTTTCTTTTTAAAAAGAACAACTTATGACAATTCATCCATCCATTCATTGTGTCTTAACCCTCTGCTTCCTCTAGTAATTCCACTGTCTTGTCCGAGTAGCTAATTTAATGAGTGCCTGTCCAGGTGTGGCAGGGACTCCCCCCCCCTTCCTAGGCCTGGGAAGTATAGGAGAGGGGTAGCTCCCACTCCCAGGGACAGGATACAGGATTGTGGGAGGGCAGCTCTGGGTGGGGGATCCAGGCCACCAGCTGAGGCACATGTCTCCCCGCCACACCATCTCAAAGCTGGGCCTGCAGCTGTGTGAGACTCACCGGCCATGTGACAGGCAGAGGGGAGGAAGGGAGGCTTGTGAGTTGGTCAGGTGCAGCCAGAAGCCTTCCCAACCCAGAGATCTGGGAGCAAAGCTCTCCCATCTGGGCAGAGGGGGTTGGGGGCTGCAAATCCTTCATTAGAGAGGTCGAGAGGGGCCAGGGTGCAAGCTAGGAGAGCTGCCACCTAGCTCTGACAAGTCCATTAAATTTTAAAGTGGCCCTGCCTTCAGGCATGCTGGGAAGGGGTGGGGACCTGGCCCTGACTCTGCTTCTCTCAGCTGTTTGTTGTTCTGCAGGCACAGCCCTGCTTGGGGGGGTGGGGGCGAGCAGATGATGCAGGAGCTTCACTTCCCAGCCCAGCCGACTCTTCTCTTTCTGGGAGAGTGGGAACAGGCCCCAGGCCGGCTCTGTCACCAGCCAGAAACCCAGTTGGGTGGCGATGGAATCAGGAGGGAGACCAGTGGGCAGGCTGGTGGACCTGCCCCCCTCCGCCTGAATCGGCCCCTGCCTCCCAAGGCCATGCAAGGTTCTTGCTCAGAAAGTTGCCCACGTTTTTCTCTTCCTCTCAGTTCAAAGGCTTGAAGAGGAGCGCTGTTGGGCCTGGGCTGGGGTTGGGGTCCCAGCATGCAAGGCCATCCTGACTGGTTCTTGCCTCTCCCTCAGGTCCCATTTAATGGATTCTGACATGGATTATGAAAGGCCAAACGTAGAGACCATCAAGTGCGTTGTGGTCGGGGACAACGCTGTGGGCAAAACCCGGCTCATCTGTGCCCGGGCCTGCAATGCCACCCTCACCCAGTACCAGCTGCTCGCCACCCATGTGCCCACTGTCTGGGCCATTGACCAGTATCGAGTGTGCCAGGAGGTAAGGCTACAAGGCCACTGGATTGGGGGCCAGGACAATGTGTGTGTGTGTGTGTGTGTGTGTAGCATGCCTTGACTCAACCAGGGCCTAGCAGAAGCTCGTGTGTGTGTGTGTGTGTGTGTGTGTGTGTAGCATGCCTCGACTCAACCAGGCCCTAGCAGAAGCTCATTGTAGCCCCTTAGGGGCAGCAGAAGGGAAAGAAGCCCTTGGGGAGAGAGCTGCTGTGTGCCGCCTGCCCCAAGGGAGCCTTGGACCAGTTACTTATGTTTGGCATGGTTGAGCCAGGTTCTGGGCCATAGCATCTGGAGCAATTCCAGCTCCAAGTGATGGAGAGCACCAGGTAGTTGGGGTTTGGAGAAGTAGAGGTGAGGAGAAGCTGCCAGCAAATACCAGCAGATCAGAGACTCTTAAACTTAAGATTCGTCAGTAAAGTATTGGACCAGGGCAGACTCCCTAAGAGATCCCTTCCCCATGCGTAACTATCTGCCCTTTCAAGGTCTCCTACTTCTGTAAGGTTTCCTCCTTCCATTCAACTCGAAGGCCGCACTTGGGACTGGTTCTACAGAGAGTTCACACGGGGAAAAGTATGGTGCAGGGCAACACAGTGGGACACAGCCTTGCTCTCCTCCCCTCACCGATGTTGCCTGGGACCCTCAGGAGTGAGCTCCCACCCACCCTGACGTCACATGCAGTGAATCCTAAGAACCGATGCTCTTGATTTCCAACCCCCCTGGCAGGTGCTGGAGCGCTCCCGAGACGTAGTAGATGATGTCAGCGTCTCCCTGCGACTTTGGGACACCTTTGGGGACCACCACAAAGACCGGCGCTTTGCTTACGGGAGGTAGGGATGGCTTTGGGCTGCCTGCAGGAACCAAGTGGGTGGGTTTTCCCTATTCTCTCAAGGAACGGTGATGTTTAAACCCGCGGGGAGACATGGAGAACTCAGCACTGGCAGAATCTCACCAGGGAGGTAGCTTGGACCAGCAAAAGACACTCGGGATCTAGAGTCATGAGATATGGTTGAGTACCATCTCTGCCACTTGCTAGCTATGTGACTTGGAGCAATTAGGGTCGCTGCTTTCGGTGTAAGGCCTGGGAGGAGTCTTTGAAAGCTCTAAAATGCTATACAAATAGAGGTATGGTAACTGTCTTGTGTAAGCTCACGGGAGCAGATCCACATGCCGGGTGGGCTGCAGGGGAGGGGCCAGCCTGGGTGGCTACGTGCGTGCACCTTGCTCCCGGATGCACTGACCTAACCACCCATGTTCTCTGCCCATAACCTCATGTCCCACCCCAGATCCGACGTGGTCGTTTTATGCTTCTCCATTGCCAACCCAAATTCCCTACACCATGTCAAGACCATGTGGTACCCAGAGATCAAGCACTTCTGCCCTCGAGCACCTGTCATCTTGGTGGGCTGTCAGCTGGATCTGCGCTATGCCGACCTGGAGGCCGTCAATAGGGCTAGGAGGCCCTTGGCTAGGTAAGGGGCTCTGGTCCTTTGGGATGGAAGAGAGGGCAGTGGGATGTGGGTAGATCATCATGGTTCCCTGCTCAGCCCCAAGGGAACCCCACTGAGCCTTACTGACACCTCTACTTGTTTGGGTGCAGCTCATGTAGGGAGCCAAAGATGTCCTTCGTTCACTCACTTATCTATGCATCTGCTATGCACCTGCTGTGTAGGCAGGACAATGCTAGGGCACTCTGAGGAAAGAGGAGGTGGTCTCTATGGAAATGCTGGGACATGAACTAAATACGTCAAACACCAATGTGAAACATTGTGTACGAATCACCAAGAAGGCAGGGCTATCCCTCGCCTAGTTCTGGCACAGATCAGGAATGCCTTCCAGAATCAGGAGGAACCGGAGGTGGGCCTTGAAAGACCACTGCGATGTGTCTGGATAGAAGAGGTGGGGCAGAGATCCTGTGGGAATGAGCAGCATAGGAATGGGGGCCCACGAAGTCAAGCCTGAGCAGAACCTCTCAGCCTAGCAAAGAGCAGGCAGTCCATGGGGGAGCTGTCTCCTCGCCGTCCCGAACCCACGGCCATCTGTGTGAGTTTGGTTTCCCTTCTTGAACCCCCAGGCCCATCAAGCCCAATGAGATCCTCCCTCCGGAGAAGGGCCGGGAGGTGGCCAAGGAGCTGGGCATCCCCTACTATGAGACCAGCGTGGTGGCCCAGTTTGGCATCAAGGATGTCTTTGACAACGCCATCCGGGCAGCACTCATCTCCCGCCGCCACCTGCAGTTCTGGAAGTCCCACCTCCGCAATGTGCAGCGGCCTTTGTTGCAGGCCCCTTTCCTGCCCCCCAAGCCACCACCTCCCATCATCGTGGTGCCCGACCCCCCCTCCAGCAGCGAGGAGTGCCCCGCCCACCTCCTGGAGGACCCGCTCTGTGCGGATGTCATCCTGGTGCTGCAGGAGCGGGTGCGCATCTTCGCCCACAAGATCTACCTCTCCACCTCCTCCTCCAAGTTCTACGACCTGTTCCTCATGGACCTGAGTGAGGGGGAGCTGGGGGACCCCTCTGGGCCAGGGGGCTCCCATCCAGAGGACCACCGGGGCCACCCTAATCAACACCACCACCATCACCACCATGGGCGGGACTTCCTGCTTCGGGCAGCCAGCTTTGATGTGTGTGAAAGCGTGGATGAGGGTGGGAGCACTGGCCCTGCTGGACTCCGAGCCTCCACCAGTGATGGGATCTTGCGGGGCAACGGGACAGGGTACCTGCCAGGGAGGGGTCGAGTGCTCTCTTCCTGGAGCCGCGCTTTTGTGAGCATCCAGGAAGAGATGGCAGAAGATCCCCTGAACTACAAATCCCGGTTGATGGTGGTGGTGAAAATGGACAGCTCCATCCAGCCAGGGCCCTTCCGGGCTGTTCTCAAGTACCTGTACACGGGGGAGCTGGACGAGAACGAGCGGGACCTCATGCACATTGCCCACATCGCCGAGCTGCTCGAGGTATTCGATTTGCGCATGATGGTGGCCAACATTCTCAACAACGAGGCCTTCATGAACCAGGAGATCACCAAGGCCTTCCACGTCCGCCGGACCAACCGGGTTAAAGAGTGCTTGGCCAAAGGCACCTTCTCAGGTACGGAACGTGCTTAGGAGCTGGTGGCTGCAAGGAAGGGAATTCCTCTCCAAGTAGCCTTCTGGTGGATCTCGGTTGGTCTGATTTGTATGCCAAGTCAGCCTCCCTTCCCGATGCCCTGGGGCGCTGGGCTGTCTGCTCCTGGGGTGGAGCCTTCTGTAGCCCAGAGCTTATCAGGAGCTGAAGGTTAAGGCTCCAGCTTCACATGGAGGGTGGGGACCATCTGGGCTCCGAGGCAATCATGGAGTTGGATAGCCCGCATGGTTGCAGCATATTCTCATGCCCTGTCTCTTCCCCTCCTGGACAGATGTGACCTTCATCCTGGATGACGGGACCATCAGCGCCCACAAGCCCCTGTTGATTTCCAGCTGCGACTGGATGGCAGCCATGTTTGGCGGGCCGTTTGTGGAGAGTTCCACCAAGGAGGTGAGGCTGAAGAGAGGAAGAGGGAGGCAGGGGAGGTTTACACGGTCTGCATCTGAACGCATTCATCACTTCAGGATGGATAAGATGCCAAACGTAGATAGATCTAAGAGATGTTCGAAAGATGGCGGGTACGCTTTGGACAGCTAACCTCAAGGGCAGGAGTTCAAAGCCACCAGCCAGCTCCATGGGAGAGAGATGAGGCTCTTTACATCTTTAAAGGGTTAGAGGGTCAGAAACTCACCAAGGTGGTTCTACCCTGTCTTAAGGGTCACCGCGAGTCAGAATGGCCTTGAGACTCGATGGCCATGAGTTTGGGTTCGATTTGGACCAGGAGAGGAAATTATAATCATGCCTTCATTGCATAGTTTAAAAAGCACTTCCAGTATGTTATGTCATTATGCCCCCACACTTACACAATCCATGGCCTTCTCACTTTATGCGTAGGGAAAGCGAGGCCCCCAGAAGTTAAGTGACTTGCCCAAAGTGGGCGAAGCAGAAAGTAGAGAGGCGAGGACATGAGCTCAGGACTTCTGGCTCCTTGGTTCTTTGCACTGCACCTAGCTCCCCTGCCCCCAAGACACGCAGAGATGCATGGAACAACTGGCAAAAGATCTGCGTGCCCTGAGCCATTCTCATCTCTAGTCACCTGATCTCCCTCGCTGACACCACCTACCACTGTCTCAGGCACCCAGCCTCGAGAAGCCTCAGAATTGAATAAACTACGGCATTTAAGAGTAGGAAGGAGCCAACCAGCATTCTTAGAAATGTTTCTCTTACAGCGTACCCTCTCATTTCCATTCTCCCAGCCAAGTAGAGTAGCCCAGGCCATAGCCCTCTTGGAACTGTAGCAGGAATTGCCCATCCCCCAGCCTTGCAGTTTACAAGGTCCAATTCCACACAGCTGCTACAATGCCCCAGGGTCCGAGCTCAGTGGCTCTTTTGGGAGTGCGGCGACTCTGTCGTTTACTTGGGCCACGTCCCTTGAGCACTGGCCTCCGAGTAAGTGCTCACCAAACAGTTGAATGAAAAATCGAAAGTAGGCATTGCCTTAGCTTGCTGTGTCAGGGAGCAGGACTTTCCTAAGGTTTCTGGGGAGGAAGTGTTTGCGGGAGGCAAAATGGATGGGCTGGGGCTGGATTTGGCTCCTGAAGCTGGAGGCCTGCGTAGGATTTGTAGTGTGCCGACTATGAACTCGTGGGAGACTCGGGGGTAAGCCAGCCATAGGCACGTCTCAGAACCCTAGAAGCTGGCTTTAGGGTGCTAGCTGATTCCCAGTGCAGCCTGGAGAGGTGTGGGTCTAATGAGAAAGCAGTTTTTGCTGTAGCACCGCTTTATACAGATCCCAGAGGCCCAAAGCCACAGCGTCAAGCAGCCCTAGAGAAGTCAGCTGGTAGTTTACTGCTCCCCAGGGCCATTGGCCCTGCCAAGCATCTTGGGCTTTAGGATGGGTTCGAAAGGATGCCAGTGAGGATGCAGGCACCTTTAAAAGATGAGAATGTGTAGGCCTTCGGAACATACTGCTTAGTGGGACAGGTCAGTTACCAAAAGCCAAATATTATAGGATCCCACTTGGATGCAATTTCTAGAATAGACACGTGTTTAGAGATCAAAGTTCATTAGTGATGACCAGGGGTGGGCAGGAAGGAGGAGAGGAAGCCTGGTACTCTGGGGCCGCTGACATGTTAAGTGTGAGGGGAAAATTCAGGACCGGTTTGGGTGCTCCGAGTGAGGAGTACAATTGGTGTCCATGAATTGTGCTTGCTATGAGAGTAGAGACAGAAAATGTTTGCCTACCTAGATCACAACGATGCTCATAATAAGAGAGAGGAGAGCAACATTCGCTGAAGCTGTCTGCACACTGGGCTGCAGGCAAGGTCATTGCTCTGGGAGACAGGCCTTGGGAGGAGCAGCACCAGGAGAGACAGACCTCGCATGTGGGTCCAGGGCCTCTTGAGCTTCTCATGACTGGGCCCCCCTTCCCTCTGGTCCGAGTGTGCTGTGACCCGGCCTGTTCCTAACCCCTCGGCAGGTGGTGTTTCCTTACACAAGCAAGAGTTGCATGAGGGCTGTGCTGGAATACCTCTACACAGGCATGTTCGCCTCCAGCCCCGACCTGGACGACATGAAGCTCATCATCCTCGCCAACCGCCTCTGCTTGCCACACTTGGTTGCCCTCACAGGTAACTAACCAGAGGGCTCAGGGACCTGTCTAGGGGTGAGGTCAGGGAAGCCCCAGGAGTGATTATATGTTCTTCTTCCACCGTGCTCCTCTCCTACGGGACAGACTAGTCACCTCAAGGGAGTAGGTGCGCATGAAATGACACACGCTGATGCGTAGCAAGTTTGGGGTGAGGACAGAGACGGGAAGGAGGGTACGTGGGGGAGAGGTTGGGTAGGGTCACTTCATAGGCTCGCTACAGAGGTGATTTTCAGCCCACCGAGTGGTCTGTAATCGATGACACTGCCTTGGGTTCTTATCAGCCTGGCTTCCCTTAGACAAAGCTACGCAGTCAAAAGAGAATAAGAAGGTCATGTCACGCTCTATCGACGAGTGATGACGACGTGGTGGTCTTTTCCCTTCTTTTTGCCTCCTCCTCTGAGTCCTTTCTTTTTTGCCCTACCCCTCTTCACCTCCCTCCACCTCCTCCGCTTCCTCCTCCTCCCCCAAATAGAAAACAAACACTGACTCATCACTTTGCTTTCTTTGGAAGGATTGTGAATTGGGGCTGAGTCTCAGTTGTTGCCGCTCGTAGCAGCCATTGAGCCGGTGCCGACTCGTGGTGACTACCTGCAGCAGAAGGAAACCCTGCCGCAGCCTGGCCATCTTCACGGGCTTTGCTAGCCGTGAGACCATTGTCGCGGCGACGGCGTCCATCCAGTTCCTAGAGGAGCCTCTTCTTTTGCTCTGACCCTCTAGTTTACCACGCCGGGTGCCCTGCTTCGAGAACTAGCACTTCCTGATAGCATGCCCCCCCAGTGCCCAAGACAAACTCTCTCCATCTCCACTTCGAAGGAGCCTCTGGCTGAACTTCTTCCATCCTTATGGCAGGCCTGGAATCCTGACTGTTCTTCGCCAACGCCATCACTCAAAGACCCCCATTCTTCTTCGGGCTTCCTTATTTGTTGTCCAACTCTCTCCTGCAGACGAGGTGATTAAAAAAGTACTATTGCTTGGATCAGGCACCCCCTGTCTTCAAGGTGGCATCTTTGCTTTGCAACGCTTTCCAGAGATTGTTTTGCGGCATGTTTTCCCAGGGTAGTAAGTCCTTTGAGCTCTTGACTGCTGTGTCCACGGGCATTGCTTGTGGTCCCAAGTAAGATGAGAATTGGCAACTTCAGTCATTTCCCCAGCTATCACGATGCTGCTTATTGATCCCCTTGTGAGGACTTTGTTTGGCGTTATGTTGAGGTATCATCCATACCGAACGTTATCATCTCGGATCCTCATCAGGAAATGCTTCAAGTCCTCTTCAGTTTCCGCAGGTAAAGCTGTGACGTCTGTGTAGCACAGAACGAGTCTTCCTCCCATCCCAATGCCGCTTTATTGATGTCGTCCAGCTCCTGGATTATTTGATTAGCATACAAATCGATAAATTTGGTGGACTGATAGAACTCTGACAGGTCTTTCCTGATTTTAAGCCACTCCGCATCCCCTTATTCTGGGTAAATGCTTCTTGGTCTATGTGCGGGTGCTGCTTGAACACAAGGAATGCTTCTGGAATTCTCATTCTTCACGATGCTGTTTATAATTTGTTAGGATTTGTGTTAGTCTGGGTACTTTAGAGAAAAAAATCCACAGAAACTCATGTATAAGAGAGAGTTTTATGTAAAAGTTAAGTGTGCATCAACAAAACATCCCAACCCAGTGCTGCCCAAGCCCACAAGTCCAACATTAACCCATTAACCCATATGTCCAATACCAATCCACAAAGTCCTCCTCCATCTCACAAAA